CCCCAGTGCTGGACTGGTCACCATGTTACTCATTCTGACAGCCGTTGGACTTCCTACTCAAGATATCAGTCTGCTAGTGGCTGTTGACTGGCTTCTGTGAGTATTCTGAATCTAGACTTATTTGATCCAGATTGGGACTTGTAAATGTTAAATGAAAGCCTTCCCTGAAGCTGTCACTGTCATGTTTAAGATTATCCTACTCTTGTTCAGGAAATATGTGACTGCTAAACAGAGCATTTCATCTTTTGTTTCCCTCAGGGATCGTTTCCGTACCTCAGTTAATGTGGTTGGAGACTCATATGGGGCTGGCATCGTCTACCATCTGTCCAAGGCAGAGCTGGATGCTCTGGACGCCCAACATGCGAAATCTGATGACATAGAGATGATGACCAAGACCCAGTCCTACTATGATGACCTCAAAAACCATCATGAAAACAACTCCAACCAGTGCGTCTATGCTGCTCAAAATTCTGTCTTATTAGATGATTGCAAGGTACAAGTCACGCTACTGGACATAGAGACATCTACATAACACATCCCTGCATGTCTCTTTTCTGATATCTTTTGCATGTTAGCATATATGTATATACACAAACATTTATGTGTGTATGTACATATATATGGTAGCTACAGTATAATTGCATATGTACTATATATATATATATATATATATATAATATGCATATTTCTTTGCTTCTTTTCTTGGAGCATATTTTGAGCATATTGCAACATAATATTGTATGTTTTGCAGTGCATCAAAATATACATCAAATCAAATAATTCATTATTATTTTTACCATTAACTCTGCAGTTAGCAGCTTTTTCCTACATCAGTTATTTAAATATTATGTGCAGAATGTGCAGTTTAAGTTCAGTTGAGATCCATGAGTTTAATAATAAACTACAAGCTAATCCTATGAAAGCACCTTTCCACCAGCAGGCCGAATATTCAGAGCATGGTGTGGAATGGTTCCAGTTGCATTTCCACTTGAGCATGATATGAATGCTAACCATGCTGCGTAAAACCTGCAGTGACGTGATAATGTGTTCATAGTATAGTACACTATTATTCTACAAGCCTTTTTCATCAACTAGCTAGCACATTAAAACATAATAAAATATTGTGTCTTTTATAGCTAGTATGGGAACCTTTCCCTTTCTACATGATGTGAGCATCCCATACAACACAAACGCTCCAGGGTTTATTCACAGTATCATGCCGTCACCAACTCTTGCGAGGTAACATGCTTCCTAATCTTAAAAAGAAACCATAACCGTGGCAACTGGCAACCATCTTGTTGCATGGTTTGGCAACAATTACCCTTCGCCTGATGGTGGAAAACAGGCTTTATTCAGCTCTGATGTATTTATGATACTGATGCTTTATTGAGTGATTCAGTTGAAGTAATTATTAAGTTATTAAGTTTACATAAATTCGCTGATAATCAAGTTTGAGAACATCAGCAATTAAGCACTGCCTGAGACTAAACAAACTTTGAGGGGAATTAAGAATGAAAGAGAAGACCCGTCCTCCTGAGTAGACACATCTTCATCTTTTAGTTTTGAATATTTTACAAAACAGACAGTTAGACCCATATCGTTCTTGTTTTTTTCTTGGTGCATAATAGACAGAAAATCTGCTCCTGTTTTTTGCTGTCTGTTGTGCTTGCATGCTCTGGATGCAAACAATAACTTAACAAAAACTAACCCAGTTTATCTAAAAATGCAATCCATTGTAGAAGCCTTGCAAAGTAACCACTCATCAATGCTTGTACTGTTGTTGTACCTTGTTATTTTTATTTATTTTTAATGAAAAAAAATACTGTTTAGTTGAATGTTATAGAGCAGTCTGTGTATTTGTCATTGAAAAATCTCATTCAGGTAAATGGTCAAATGGCTTTAGTGTCAAGGTCTATATATCTTGGAGCACAGAATTCTAAATGACTGAAACAAAAGTATTCATCACTATGCAATGTTGTATAGTAAAAATTAATCAACTGGATTTATATTTCCTGAATGAAATGGTCAAAAGCAGAAGAGTGTCATAGGAATGGGGCATAGAGAGGAGACCCGGCTGGCATCATTTGCTGAAGTAAACACTGATCACAGGCATTCATTATGACAAAAGCACTGGCAGTTAGATTGTGAATTTTATGTGTTCATTTTAAACATCCACATCAAGAATGATGCCTGTAAAAATAACTATTACCGTAAAGTTAAAAAAATTGTTCTAAATCTAAAAGAATCTGGCTGTTAAGCCTGAAGTCACACGTCTCTTCTGGGACCAAACTCTCCTTCAGATCACAAAAGCAAACAACACACAGTGCTATTATACTGTATACACATGGTGTGCTGTGTAGTACTACCAAAAAATCATGGTCTTAACCATTATCTCCCAAACGAAATCTCACTTGGTCTGACAGTGATTGATCTTTTCTGAATTGTTAAAATATTGGTGTCTAGGATGCTGTAACCAGAGAGTGTAGTTTACACTGTTTGTCATTTTTAAAAACTTAGTGTGCTGTAAATGAATTGTGCTCATAAACTGCTGTTGAGATGGTATTCTCACTTGAAACCGAAAACATTAACTTGAAACATTATTATCAGTCGATACATCACAGCAACAAGCATATAGTGGAGTCTACACCACAACAATAATGGTAACAACACAAAGGAACAATACAAAATTGTTCCGCTATTGGGATCACTTTCAGAACTGAAAGGTAAAACAGCCATCCATCCTACTTTTACATTTTTAAAATCAAAATATCTTTTCTGTTACATTTGTACATTTGCTAAAAGTCTCAGAATTCTTTGCTCCAAAGCTCCAGAGAGATCTTACATTTACTGTTGAACATTCACATGGATATGACCTCAGATTTGTCGATAACTCTTTCAGGTAACCTTGGCAGCCACAAATGGCTCAACTGCGGAGTACACACTCGTTGAGGAAGAACCTTGGAAAAACAATTAATGCAAGCACACAGACCCCGGCACCCCAAGAGAGAGAGAAAAAAGCAACCTATATTCATGCACATAGAACAAATGGGTTTTGTAGTTTATTTCTATGGTTTCTATTCTTTTCTAACATGTTTAACAATATTATATTGTCTCATGTAACACAAGAATATGAGGCCAAAAGCTCACACATGCAGCTGACATAATGTTATTGAGGCAGTTACATCAATTATTTGTGATGCTAATAAATATATACATAAACTTCCAAACATATGTATTTTGAAAAGGTGAATTTTCAGAGGAAGAACAGACAGATAACAAAGTTTCTTACAGAGCCATTGCCCACTGCTTATATGAGAACATGACAGAAACCTGCTCGTCTGCCTCTAGTTCCTTCGCCTTACACTATGACAGCTGAACTACCTTGCACGACACCGTAGCACCTCTTGGTCCGAACAAATCTCACAACCACTTCTCAAAAGGGTAATCTAGTGTTGCTAGGATACAAAAGTAGGGACGGAGGCGACTGCACAGAGATGGAAGGTAAAGCACAAGTCGCGTTTATTTCACAAGCTCGCCTCATAGAAAGGGCTCTGGCCTGAGTGATAGCGACTTCCACCACTGGTGGAAGAACACTAGGTCTGCCACGTCCCGTGATCTAGACGCGGGTGCCAATGGTGCCGAGCCCCTGAAAAAGGAGTTCCTTCCTCAGAGGGATACGCCAGGGAGGGCCGTCATGAGGAGCACGAGTTCCGAAAATCAGGTCATATGGTCACAACCAGCAGGACCTGCTCCTTGTCATCCCTGACCTTGCACAGTGTCTGCACGAGAAGGCTCACTGGGGAAATGCATACTTGCGTAAAGCTGCGTGCCAGCGTGACTGTGCCGAGGGGGCCTTGGTCAGAGAGTAATAAAGCTGGCAGTGGGAGGACTTGTGGGTGGCAAACAGGTTTACCTGAGCTCCCCGAATCGACTCCAGTTCAGCCAGATCATCTCGGGATGGAGTCGCCATTCTCTGGGGAACGTGAGCTGTCGTGAGAGCATGTCGGCCACATGATTGAGCTTCCCCCGGGATGTGGACGGCAGCGCCCTGCACTGCGTCTGACTCCAGAGAAGGAGATGACGGGCGAGTTGTGGCATCTTTAAAAAGACGCGAGCCGTCAGTGATCAGAAACTGCTCTTTTGATGAAGCACCCAGGGGAATCGCTGAATTAACCGGGACGCCGCTGGTTGTGCCGTAACGCCACCCAGAACAGCCTCTTCTTCTAGCAGCAGAGAGAATTCGCCTGGTGAATCTCGAACTGTTCATTCACTCGGCTCCGAAGCAAAAATCTGATGAGTGGATGCACCTGTCGTTTATTTATACCCGTGTGCACGGGGAGTGGCTCAGCATGCAAAATCCACTAGCCAAATTTCACTGGCATTTTCTCTTAATCAGAGAGGATTCGGGCTCCCAAGTAAGACCCCATATGTTGTCACAACATAACTCATAGTGACCGACAGATAGGGAACTAGGGTTATATTTGTGACACAAACATTTTACTTGGATACTAGATATGATGCTGACTGCCATAATGATCAGTGTTGTTTGTCACTTATATGTAACAAAAATTTTGTTAAGTAATCATAATCAAGTAATCATTTACATAATGACATTACATAATGTATATTTTGAAAACCGTACAACAGGTGGTTGTACAACATCTGGTACAGATGGTCCATTTCAGTTCCATTTTCATTTTACTACTGTTCTTCCAAAATTGATGTACCACATTTCTTGTATTCTAAAAATACAAGACTATTATTATACATTTTAATGTGTATTGGAGAATCGACTGGCTGTTGACCAGCCTTTTGAGGCCACCCGATGTCTAAGCTTAGGTGCTCAGTAACTTGTTAGGCAAAATTCAGAACATATTTGTCCTTTTTAAACAGTAGGCTGTTATTTTAGAAAAATATTTTTCTTTTCTTTAAGTTGTTCTGGACACGATTGTCTACTATTGTCTACTACTTTATGGGTAAATATGAATGAAACATAAGTGCTTGCATTCCCAAAATTTAGTCTTACAGCAACACTTGCCAGTGTCGGGGCGGCGAGTATCCCCAGTGCTGGACTGGTCACCATGTTACTCATTCTGACAGCCGTTGGACTTCCTACTCAAGATATCAGTCTGCTAGTGGCTGTTGACTGGCTTCTGTGAGTATTCTGAATCTAGACTTATTTGATCCAGATTGGGACTTGTAAATGTTAAATGAAAGCCTTCCCTGAAGCTGTCACTGTCATGTTTAAGATTATCCTACTCTTGTTCAGGAAATATGTGACTGCTAAACAGAGCATTTCATCTTTTGTTTCCCTCAGGGATCGTTTCCGTACCTCAGTTAATGTGGTTGGAGACTCATATGGGGCTGGCATCGTCTACCATCTGTCCAAGGCAGAGCTGGATGCTCTGGACGCCCAACATGCGAAATCTGATGACATAGAGATGATGACCAAGACCCAGTCCTACTATGATGACCTCAAAAACCATCATGAAAACAACTCCAACCAGTGCGTCTATGCTGCTCAAAATTCTGTCTTATTAGATGATTGCAAGGTACAAGTCACGCTACTGGACATAGAGACATCTACATAACACATCCCTGCATGTCTCTTTTCTGATATCTTTTGCATGTTAGCATATATGTATATACACAAACATTTATGTGTGTATGTACATATATATGGTAGCTACAGTATAATTGCATATGTACTATATATATATATATATAATATGCATATTTCTTTGCTTCTTTTCTTGGAGCATATTTTGAGCATATTGCAACATAATATTGTATGTTTTGCAGTGCATCAAAATATACATCAAATCAAATAATTCATTATTATTTTTACCATTAACTCTGCAGTTAGCAGCTTTTTCCTACATCAGTTATTTAAATATTATGTGCAGAATGTGCAGTTTAAGTTCAGTTGAGATCCATGAGTTTAATAATAAACTACAAGCTAATCCTATGAAAGCACCTTTCCACCAGCAGGCCGAATATTCAGAGCATGGTGTGGAATGGTTCCAGTTGCATTTCCACTTGAGCATGATATGAATGCTAACCATGCTGCGTAAAACCTGCAGTGACGTGATAATGTGTTCATAGTATAGTACACTATTATTCTACAAGCCTTTTTCATCAACTAGCTAGCACATTAAAACATAATAAAATATTGTGTCTTTTATAGCTAGTATGGGAACCTTTCCCTTTCTACATGATGTGAGCATCCCATACAACACAAACGCTCCAGGGTTTATTCACAGTATCATGCCGTCACCAACTCTTGCGAGGTAACATGCTTCCTAATCTTAAAAAGAAACCATAACCGTGGCAACTGGCAACCATCTTGTTGCATGGTTTGGCAACAATTACCCTTCGCCTGATGGTGGAAAACAGGCTTTATTCAGCTCTGATGTATTTATGATACTGATGCTTTATTGAGTGATTCAGTTGAAGTAATTATTAAGTTATTAAGTTTACATAAATTCGCTGATAATCAAGTTTGAGAACATCAGCAATTAAGCACTGCCTGAGACTAAACAAACTTTGAGGGGAATTAAGAATGAAAGAGAAGACCCGTCCTCCTGAGTAGACACATCTTCATCTTTTAGTTTTGAATATTTTACAAAACAGACAGTTAGACCCATATCGTTCTTGTTTTTTTCTTGGTGCATAATAGACAGAAAATCTGCTCCTGTTTTTTGCTGTCTGTTGTGCTTGCATGCTCTGGATGCAAACAATAACTTAACAAAAACTAACCCAGTTTATCTAAAAATGCAATCCATTGTAGAAGCCTTGCAAAGTAACCACTCATCAATGCTTGTACTGTTGTTGTACCTTGTTATTTTTATTTATTTTTAATGAAAAAAAATACTGTTTAGTTGAATGTTATAGAGCAGTCTGTGTATTTGTCATTGAAAAATCTCATTCAGGTAAATGGTCAAATGGCTTTAGTGTCAAGGTCTATATATCTTGGAGCACAGAATTCTAAATGACTGAAACAAAAGTATTCATCACTATGCAATGTTGTATAGTAAAAATGAATCAACTGGATTTATATTTCCTGAATGAAATGGTCAAAAGCAGAAGAGTGTCAGAGGAATGGGGCATAGAGAGGAGACCCGGCTGGCATCATTTGCTGAAGTAAACACTGATCACAGGCATTCATTATGACAAAAGCACTGGCAGTTAGATTGTGAATTTTATGTGTTCATTTTAAACATCCACATCAAGAATGATGCCTGTAAAAATAACTATTACCGTAAAGTTAAAAAAATTGTTCTAAATCTAAAAGAATCTGGCTGTTAAGCCTGAAGTCACACGTCTCTTCTGGGACCAAACTCTCCTTCAGATCACAAAAGCAAACAACACACAGTGCTATTATACTGTATACACATGGTGTGCTGTGTAGTACTACCAAAAAATCATGGTCTTAACCATTATCTCCCAAACGAAATCTCACTTGGTCTGACAGTGATTGATCTTTTCTGAATTGTTAAAATATTGGTGTCTAGGATGCTGTAACCAGAGAGTGTAGTTTACACTGTTTGTCATTTTTAAAAACTTAGTGTGCTGTAAATGAATTGTGCTCATAAACTGCTGTTGAGATGGTATTCTCACTTGAAACCGAAAACATTAACTTGAAACATTATTATCAGTCGATACATCACAGCAACAAGCATATAGTGGAGTCTACACCACAACAATAATGGTAACAACACAAAGGAACAATACAAAATTGTTCCGCTATTGGGATCACTTTCAGAACTGAAAGGTAAAACAGCCATCCATCCTACTTTTACATTTTTAAAATCAAAATATCTTTTCTGTTACATTTGTACATTTGCTAAAAGTCTCAGAATTCTTTGCTCCAAAGCTCCAGAGAGATCTTACATTTACTGTTGAACATTCACATGGATATGACCTCAGATTTGTCGATAACTCTTTCAGGTAACCTTGGCAGCCACAAATGGCTCAACTGCGGAGTACACACTCGTTGAGGAAGAACCTTGGAAAAACAATTAATGCAAGCACACAGACCCCGGCACCCCAAGAGAGAGAGAAAAAAGCAACCTATATTCATGCACATAGAACAAATGGGTTTTGTAGTTTATTTCTATGGTTTCTATTCTTTTCTAACATGTTTAACAATATTATATTGTCTCATGTAACACAAGAATATGAGGCCAAAAGCTCACACATGCAGCTGACATAATGTTATTGAGGCAGTTACATCAATTATTTTTGATGCTAATAAATATATACATAAACTTCCAAACATATGTATTTTGAAAAGGTGAATTTTTCAGAGGGAGAACAGACAGATAACAAAGCTTCTTACAGAGCCATTGCCCACTGCTTATATGAGAACATGACAGAAACCTGCTCGTCTGCCTCTAGTTCCTTCGCCTTACACTATGACAGCTGAACTACCTTGCACGACACCGTAGCACCTCTTGGTCCGAACAAATCTCACAACCACTTCTCAAAAGGGTAATCTAGTGTTGCTAGGATACAAAAGTAGGGACGGAGGCGACTGCACAGAGATGGAAGGTAAAGCACAAGTCGCGTTTATTTGGAGACCCTCCTCCTCTGGAGCTCCTTTTATCACAGTGCTCACTGGAGTGGGGTTTTTTTCTCTATTCTGTCAAGGAAACGGAAGATAGGCTGTTTCTCATATGTATGTTGGTGAATCAGTGGCACAATAGCACAAAAACCTTTCAGGCACATTCAGGCCATTATATTTACCATTCCAGGTCTTACATGAGCTCTTTGCGTCATTCAGAAGTACTGAAATATGCAATGCATGCCTTACGTTTAGTTCATTATAAAGCACAAATTGTCTATTTATGTTGTACAACCAAAACAACACCTGAACACGTGTCAGTCATACAGTGAACATACAGCTGATGGCTTCGGTGTTAAAAATCAAAATCTTTTGAGATTCCAGAAGTGCATCTTTTAAAATAACATGCCTATTTTTATATGATTTGGTGTGGTGTGCTAAACCTGGACTGGCATTATTAACAACTCCATTTTGATTACGAACATGTCCAGTATGTTGAGAGCGCACAACCCTTCTAAATTAGATAAATGCCTTTGCCCACATACTGTATATATTCAATTTGTATTCTACAATTGCTCTAAATTTAGCCTATTTTTCCTTCCACTGGTAAGATATAGAGGTATACTCAGGCATATAAAATATATACTCGTTTTTTTCCAGGAAAAATTTTGTCAGGGAAAAAAAAAAAAAATATATAAAAGCTCACACATGCAGCTGACATAATGTTATTGAGGCAGTTACATCAATTATTTGTGATGCTAATAAATATATACATAAACTTCCAAACATATGTATTTTGAAAAGGTGAATTTTCAGAGGGAGAACAGACAGATAACAAAGTTTCTTACAGAGCCATTGCCCACTGCTTATATGAGAACATGACAGAAACCTGCTCGTCTGCCTCTAGTTCCTTCGCCTTACACTATGACAGCTGAACTACCTTGCACGACACCGTAGCACCTCTTGGTCCGAACAAATCTCACAACCACTTCTCAAAAGGGTAATCTAGTGTTGCTAGGATACAAAAGTAGGGACGGAGGCGACTGCACAGAGATGGAAGGTAAAGCACAAGTCGCGTTTATTTGGAGACCCTCCTCCTCTGGAGCTCCTTTTATCACAGTGCTCACTGGAGTGGGGTTTTTTTCTCTATTCTGTCAAGGAAACGGAAGATAGGCTGTTTCTCATATGTATGTTGGTGAATCAGTGGCACAATAGCACAAAAACCTTTCAGGCACATTCAGGCCATTATATTTACCATTCCAGGTCTTACATGAGCTCTTTGCGTCATTCAGAAGTACTGAAATATGCAATGCATGCCTTACGTTTAGTTCATTATAAAGCACAAATTGTCTATTTATGTTGTACAACCAAAACAACACCTGAACACGTGTCAGTCATACAGTGAACATACAGCTGATGGCTTCGGTGTTAAAAATCAAAATCTTTTGAGATTCCAGAAGTGCATCTTTTAAAATAACATGCCTATTTTTATATGATTTGGTGTGGTGTGCTAAACCTGGACTGGCATTATTAACAACTCCATTTTGATTATGAACATGTCCAGTATGTTGAGAGCGCACAACCCTTCTAAATTAGATAAATGCCTTTGCCCACATACTGTATATATTCAATTTGTATTCTACAATTGCTCTAAATTTAGCCTATTTTTCCTTCCACTGGTAAGATATAGAGGTATACTCAGGCATATAAAATATATACTCGTTTTTTTCCAGGAAAAATTTTGTCAGGGAAAAAAAAAAAAAATA